TTAAATCATTAAGTCACTATATAAAAATGAAATTATTTTATTATTTTATTAATATAATTATTGCAACTTTTAAATTCAATTTTTGATTGATCAAAATTAATCAATATTTTATTGATTAATTTTATGCATTTTCTAAATCCCTTTGAAGTTTTTTAAAATGAATTACAAATGTCAATTTTGTCAATACACCTTTTCAAGACATTCCTCTTATACAAGACATATTAGGAAATATATTTTAACTGTAGACTCTAGTAACAAGTTTAATGAAGATTTAAATGAGTCAAAATTTCCTATTATTTCTAATAATATTGAAAATATGTAGAGCAAAAAGTAATGAATATTTATTAAATAATTATTTATTTTAATATAATTATTATTACTTCGAAGATTTTTAAATTTTTTGAAATAAAATTTCCAAAATTTATTATTTTAAAAACTTTTATATTAAAAATTTATTATTTTAAAAAAATTTCCTGATATTTAACTGATAAATAATTTCAAAATTCCTTTCTCCAACTATTTTTGAGATAAATATTGATACTTCAATTTGTTACCAAATTGATATAGGACCTAGATCTTGTTACTACTTCTTGTCCTTAAGAAAAAATAAAAAAAAAAAAAGTAACAAAAGATAAGAACAAAAAAGAGTCACTTCTCTTTTACTCACAACTTCAACTTCACCTAATACTTCTATACTACTTTTTCAACTAAAAACCATCCAACTTTTTCAGGACCAATCACATTATTGATTTAGTATTGCATAACTGAAAATACATAAGAAGTATATGTCTTGTTTATTTTTTCTGTGGCTGACATGATCAATCAATCTGTGACTTTGATCAATCATCTTTTAGGAAAGTTTGATATAACCAAAAATTCAGGGTTAAACTAAGGTAGGCAAAATTTCTCAGAAAAACCAAAAAAAAAGGAAGCATGCTTAAAAAAAAAGAAGTGGGAAGCCAAAAAGATGATGGAAAGATTGGAAACTTCTTTATTCTTGTTTCTTTAGATTCTTGAATCTTTTTGGGAGTCTTTGAAGAGTATAATTTTTTGTCAGTTTTCTTTCTATAAAGATGTTCTTGTCATAGACTTTTTAAATAGGTTTCTTGTATTTAGTCACAAAAATAAACAAAAAAAGTGTTTTGAAAAAAAAAAATAAAACAAGTGATAGCTTCTGCTTACTTTACTAATTAAAAAACCAATGTTGTTAAGAAAAGTATATAGACTTTATTATCATAAAAACATAAAATTTTTTGAGAACATCTGTTTTTTGGGTTGATAAAAGGATTAGCGAAAAGAGTTATATTGTTAATAATAATATAATTTTGTATTAAATATAATTTTTAATTATTTATTATATGTTATTTAATAATTTTAATATAATATAATTTTTGAATTTAATTTCATTATATATATAGTTCAAGTTAATAATAAACAATTTTAATATAAAGTATAATTTTTAAAATTAAAAAATAGTTATTTAAATAAAAATATAATTATTTTGATAAAATTTATATATTAATAAAAGTAAAATTAAAAAGAAATTTCAAAAAAATTTATAAAAAAGTAATTGTTATATAAGCTTTTTTTTATATAATTAAAAAAAAAACCAAGATTTTAAAAAAAAAATTTTTTTTAATCAAAGATTTTATTATATTATAATATAATATATATTTTTTTGAATTTATTAAAACTTTTATAATAAAAATAAAAAAATATAAAGAATTTTTGAATATTTAAAAATAAAAAAAAAAAATATTATATATAAAAAGTTTTTTTTTTTTTTTTTTTTTTTTTTTTTTTTTTTTTTTTTTAAAAAATGGATGGTTTACACCTTTATTCAAATTATATTGAAATATACATTAATTTCCTTGTCGATACTCAATGCATTTAGAGGTAACTAACTTAAACTTGTGGCATAAATTTGAATATTACTAAAAACTATGTTCTACTGTGAGGCTTATTATCAGTAAAAGCAACAGTATTTCTTGATCGATCTATCAAACACTACTGATTCCTAAAAAATATTTTTTTAAAACAAACCAACTTTTCTATACCTTCTGACCTCAAATTTGTAAACTTTTTCATTAAGATTTCTCAACACCTAACAGATTATCCATCGGAGTATTGTGTCTCTATTCTTTTCAAAAGGGAGAGGGAGAGACTTCTTCTTTAACAACTTTAACAACTACAGCAGAGGGGAATGGTTTCAGCAGCTAGCTTTATTGATCCTATTCCAATTGCTCAAGGCCTCAGGTTCAATTGTCATTATCTTTCTAAAGTAATTGTATTAACTAGATGGTATGATTTCAGTCACTTATTTCTTATACCCAAGGAAATAGAGTTCCATCATAGTCTAAATACAATCCTTTCATATTCAGATGGAAACCTAATACTGTTGTCCTTGCCAGCATCTTGAAATATTTTCTCATCTAGGTAGCTGCCTAGGGAATTACAATTTGAAAAGCAGATGGAGCCTAGGTCTAGCCAATACCTTAAAACCTATGGTGGGGTTGATGATCCAATCCTTTAGATAGTGCTTAACTTCAAGCATAGGCTGCTTATTTAAAAAGGCGCAACTCTTCCAAAGTTAGACTATGTCTTGAGGGGAGTCTTCCATTCTGGCAATCGTTATCAACTGAATACCTTCACTAAAGGTAAGAATGGTGAATATCGTTGACGGGCTTGACAGCTCTTATGGTAGGAGGAGTTATATTGAAGGTCTTGCTAAGTGGTTTACAGTTTGTGGTTTTCCACAAACCATGGATCAGAGCCAAAAAACACCATAGGGAAAAAACATTCTGTTTACCTTGTTTGTATTTATAAATATAGGGAAAAGATAAAGAAAGGAAAAGAGGAAAAAGAGAGGTAGAAGGGTATGCATACAAGCCCAACTATATCAAAACGGACATCTCGTCACCTTGTTCTTTCTGTCTGAAGTGATAATATCATCAGAGTTGTATAGTATGAATAGGGATGTGTTCTTGTTTTGTTTATCTGTTACTTGTTTATTGTTGTCCAATCCAGATTTTCAGCCAATGGAAACCCAGCAGATCCAATATAACTAAAAATTCAGAGTCAAACTGAAGTAGGTAAATTTCTTCAAAAAAACTGAAGAATTTTGAAAACACACTAGGAAGGTAGCTGTATTCATATTGTAGAGATTTCTGGAGACCAAGATATCCAACAACCTTTCAGCTTTTGGGGTTGTCTTTCCTGATAGAGATACTAATATCATGGCGGTGAAAAAAAGGAGGGAAACCAAATAAACTGTCTTCTTTTCTGGGAAACTCTTTTTTGCCATCGGAGTTTGAGTGAGTAAAAACTAAGAAACCTTCTTGTTTATACTTTGTTGAAGGGATAAATAAAACAGTGGAGGGTGTGGGAGTGTCTTGTCAAGGTCTGTCAAGTTGTATTAAAGAAAGTGTATAGGTTTTGTTAAGAATAAAGACATACTTTAGTCTAAACACTATTTTGGAATGTTGTCAAGAGATCAGTGGGAAGAGCTCCTTTTTTGTTTTGAAAAAAAAAGTTTTTTTTTAATTATATTAATATTTATTATTAAATATATAAATAAAATTTATATAAAACAAAATAATTATAAAATATATTTTTTTAAAAATATTTTTTATTTAAAATTTTAAAATTTAAAAAGTTTTTATAATTAATTTTATTAATTTTATAACTTTTTTTAAAAGTATTAAAGTTTATTAATTTAAGAATAAATATTTAATATAAAAAGTTTTGACAATTTTTTTCTTAATACACTATATTTATATTATATTTATAAATTATAAATTATTTTTTTTATTTTAAATTATTTTAATAAAATAATTACAATTAAATTTGTTTTATATACAGTATTTTCAAAAAAGTTGTTTTTAAAGTTTTATTTAATTTTAGTTCTTTTATAACAATTATTACAATTATAGCAATTATAGCAATTCAATTCAATTAAAAATCAGTATAATACAATATTAAGAACATTATAGGCTACAAAAGTATTTTTTATATTAAAATATATTTTGTATTCATATTTTAATTTGTACTTTATTATTTAATTATTATTTTATTTTATTATTTCCTTTTATGTATATTTACATATAATTTTGATTATATGGTTACTTAGTACCATTTGACAAGGTATACTGTTTTAAAATTTCTTTTTAGTTAGATAATTGAAATAGTAGGAAGATGTTATTTTTTTTATAATATATATTTTGTAATATATAAACAAATAAAGAAATGATGTTTATCTATTAAAAAACCATTATTGCCATGTATAAAGGATTGCGTTCGGCTCTACGCCCTTTTGACTCTTATTCTATAATTTAATCTGTTTTACAATCGCTTTATAATTTAACCTGGTTTTCAACTTTTATTATTTTATAATTTAATCTTATTTGTTTTTTTTACAATTATTTACATATAAGAAATCTCGATATATGATTTTGCAAACCATCTTTGTGCCATTGTAGGTCGGAAGATAATTCTACCATTTAATTGACAGGGGATCTTTGGTTTTTTTGGAAAACGGGTACATCTCAAAAATTCCCAATAAATCCATGATTATCAAAACTGCTTATTGAGACATAAATGAACGACCTTATCCGATAATAATCTATCTAAAATCTTCCGATAAATAACTGATTAATCAATTATGCAGTAGAACGAAACAAATATTTACACGTCTTTTATTAGACGACCAATCAATATGTCAATGAGTGCTGGTAGTCAGATGCAACAGAAGGAATTCGTGCGTCCTTTTTTCAAACATTATAAATTTAATGTAATGGGTAATTAAGGAAAACCAATCTAAAAGTAAATGATTTTTTTTTTCTTAGAATATCACCGAGTAAAAAAAAAATAAGACAATAATTGTTATTTGTTATATATGATGTGTATATCAAGGAAAATTTTGCAAAAATATATATAATAAATCTTTACACAAGTAGAATATGGTGTATGGGAATTATTTAGGGAATGTACAATTGTATTCATCACTCGCTCTCTAATTCACCCTCACCAGAATTTGACATCACTACGTCACCATCACCATTACTGCTATTTGTTTCACCACCATTTTCTTCTACTAACTGTGGAGCAGCTGAAACCGGAGACCCGGTATTACCGTTAACCCTTCCATTTCCATTAGTACGTGCACCTGTGCCTCTACGTCGACCACCACCATTTCTAGTCTTCATTACTTCAAAATGTTGGGTGACGTAATTTTTGCACTTACTAGCGTTAGGCAAGTCTTGGATCATTTTCCTAATAGTCGCTTGTGAGAAACCGAAATAATCGGGACCCGATGCTGAATTAGAATGATCACGATGACGAATAGCGTTAGCCTCACGAACAACGGAAGTCCAAGCTCCAGTTGCCGTATTGGCAATAATCGGTTTGTCAGGTTGATCCTCCGCTTCGATTACAAACTAATTTGAAAAGATATATAATGAATTATTTGACCTAACTTAATTATTACAAAAATAAGATGCGTTCATTACCTTGGGACCTTCACCGCCATCTTCAATTTTGCAAACATACATTGTTTGGTTATCAGCATTGATCATGCTATTATATGCTCTATTAAAATAGAATAAATCATTGTAAATATAAATTACGGAAAAAGTCGATAATATTCAAGTTATTGAAGTTGATTTACCTTTTGACAGCATATCCGACAGGCCAAATATATCTTTCATTATGGAAAGTGTCACGATCGTAAACGACCGTACCAAGATTCAATACAGTTAATATTCCAATTTGAACAGGAAGCTTGTAATTTCCTTTTTCGTCTTGTTCTACGTGCTGGACTTTCATAACCTTGGCATTGAGAGGACGTTTACTGGCCCGTTTCTTTGTGACCTTCCCGGTAGCATGAGTAATCGGAACAGTATTTACTATGTTATTGGCAGGAGTAGGAGTCGATGACTTTTTATTCGAGTTACGTCCACGAGACTTCTTTGAAGGACGAACAGACGATGCCCTGGATTGCTCGGCTGAGGATGCTAAGAAAAAAATTTTGAAATCCTTGAGCCATAAGAAATATGTTAAACAATAAACTGTGATAATAAAAAGGGAAGCAGATTACCATCTGAATCTAGTGACTCTTCGGATGAAAGATCGACAGATCTTTCGGAATCTGTAGTGTCTATATTCTCATATTGACTGATACGGTCCAACAACAACCTAGACAAACGAAAACAAAATAAATGTAGGCTTCTACGGCAAAACGGTAAAGGCGAGAGGTATCAAACAGTAAACTTACTCCTTTTCCCTTTTAAGCGATTTAACCCGTTTGCGAGACTTATCAAGTTCTTTGGAAACTTTATCAAGATCCTATGAAAAATACATGAGAGTTTTAATAAGTATGTGCCGACAAACAAAGTTTTTTATTTTGTTTGACAAAATAAATGTCAAAGAAAAAAAAAGTTTCTTTTATAACTATGTGACTAGTTCTGTATGATTGTTGAATATAAGAGCAAGTTTACATGTGTAATAAAGACGTTTTAAATTTCCGAACGAAATAGAACAGTTAAATCATAAATCAGAAATCTATGTTTTTCTTTTTTCCTTTATTTATTGTATATGTTTGGGCTTATTGCCCAAGGTGTGTTCTAAGATCTTGGAAAAGTTTCGTCCATTTTAAACAAAGTCGTTCGTAAAATAAGTCTAACTTACAGTTTGTATATCACGGACTCTTCGCTTTAACTTTTGATATCTTTCGTGAGGTACCACCCCATTTTCATTTGACGTGCTGTGTCGCCCCCTGTTAGAATGATTCTGAGCCATATTATGAAGCAGCAAAGTTTATAAAAAGTGTTGGAGATTAACACGAAAAAGATTATGTGAGGAGAACTTAGTTTAAAAGTAAACAAAGTTTGGGGGTGTGTAGTATTTTTATAGTGATGGGTAAATATGGTTGGAGCTGTGTGTATTATAACAGATAGTACGCCCAACAATCTTTGGGTGTGTAAGGGAACAACTATTAGTCAAAAGACGCAAGTAAAGTTTTATTTATGAGAAGAAAAATTAGGAAGGATTCGGATAACGAAATGTGTAGATGATTTTTACAAAGTAAACGTAATTCATTTTTATGGTTGTATTTATTGTGTATATTGCGGGGGGTTTGGTTTGGGACATACTGGACGGACGTTTCGGAAGGCTTGTGTGTGCTCTTAGTTCCAAGGACAAAAGCCTGCCTCTTTCAAAAGAGAAAATGATTTCATGCTGTCTCCAAACCTTTACTGATGCGACTTGATTGGTTAGGATAATGATGTGCAACGTAACATCATGCAATTACTATCCATAATTGGAAAGAACTGAGACGGGGTTGCTCATTGAAAGTCCGTATAAATTGTACTCTAAAAACAATTTTTTTAAAAAACGTTACTATAAAATTTTTTTTCGAATTGTAACACACACATATCCTACCTTATATATATATAGTTTATAGGTTAAATCAAATATATAGTATACATATACATATTTATTTATTTGGACTTTTACCTGTTAAGAAATAATAAAAAAATTTTATTAATTAATAATTATTCAATAATAGATTTGAAAATGTAATTTATTTATTGAAATATTTAAATATATTTTCGTTGCTTTTTTATTTTTAAAGTAAATAAACATTATTTTTTTATTTATAAGTACGTATATACAATATGTTATAAAAAATTTTAAATTTATTTATTTATTTATTATTCAAAAATTATATAAAATCCGCGCGTGTATCACACCTTAGTTCTAAAAAAAAAAAAAAAAAAAAATTATTACATATATAAAATTATTAAAAATGTATCAAATGAAACTTAAAATTTAAATACTATTTATTGATATATAATTAACAATTTATTCTTTTATTATTATTTTTTTTATAAAATTTATAAAATTAATTATAATTTTTATTTAAATTTTTATTATATAAATTGTTTTAATTTAAAATTTTTTAAAATAATTATATATACTATATATATTTATTTAATAATAACTTAAAGATTTTTTTAATAAAATTTAAATTTAAATTATTATAAAAATAATATTATTTCTTAAATCATAAGATATTTTTTTTATAATGTTTAAAATTTTTTAACTAAAAAGTTGCTTTTTATTTATTTTTTTAAATAATCAAAATATTTTTCTAAAAAGTTATATAATATTAGTTTTAGTTGTATTATCTATTTATAATATTTATTTTTTATTTATTTAATAAAAATTTAGAGTTTAATTATAAGCAAAAATTTTAATAAAAGTTGATATTAGACAAACTTAAAAAATTTTTAAATTAAAGTTTATATAATTATAATCAGTTTTGTAGAATTATTTGTAAAGAATAACTTTAATTATTATAATTTTAATAGTTTAATTATAAAAATTTTAACCTGTATTAAAAGCAAAGTAATTTTTTTACTTTAAATATATATTAAATTTTATATAATTTTTTATATTAAAATTTTAAACACAAAATTTAAAGTTATTTATTTTAAAAATTTGTAATAAAATTTTGATTCTTTACTTAATAAAGTTAATAAAAAATATCTTAAACTATATTTTTCATAATATAAGTAAGTTATAAAAATTAATATTTAAAATTTTAAATATATAAGCAAATTTGCCTACATTATAATTTAAGGAATAAAAAAAAATATACTTTTTCACTTCCCTCCCTATACTTAAAAATTTCTTTTTTAGAAAGTTTTTAAATTGTTTTTTTTTTTTGTTTTTCTCCTTTCCCTAATACTATTTTTTTTTTTTATTATTTCCTTTTTCTCTCTTTCTTTTTTTTTTCTTTTTTTTCTATAAACATTTTTTAATATATTGTTGTAGGGAAAAATGATGAGTATATGATAGGAAATTATAAGGGTAAGTATATCAGATATAAACAGTATATCAGGTATAAGTGGTATATCAGGTATAATAGGTATAATAAGTATAAAGTAAAAATATATATAAGTGACCTGAGAATGGTCAAAAAGTAAGAAAAACCAGAATAGGTACTGCGCAACTGTTAAATAAAAACCATCTTTATTTGATAAACTATTGACTTGTAATTGACCCCAGCATTACGTAGCTAACGGAATTGCTGCACGTGAAGTAACCATTGAGGACGCAAGATCGATGGACTGATCTGCGTCAGCATTATGAACTCTGGCCAAATTCACACACCTCTTTTGAGCAGAAACTGTCCCGATCGTTACACAGTATGAGACAGATCAAAGCAACTGACTTGCTGTAATTTCACCACAACAATATATACTCTTCCTCCCTTTTTATATTAAAGTTAGGTTTTTTTTTCTCTCTAAAGTTTTTCCTCTCTAGACTTCTTTTTTTTTTAAAACTGCCATTCTACATCTCATTACCCCTCTGGTTTGTTGACTTCTTTTTCTCAAAAACCATATTAAGAAGTAGTAACTTCTCTTATGTTATAGACCTTAAGAAGTTTTTTGCTTCTATGATTTTTAAAAAAAAAACAAATAATTTACTTTTTCAAAAAGATCAGCATAGTTATAATTACTATATTCAGTATTGTTTACTTGTTAATAATTAAACTAAATATATTGTTGGCCCTATAAAAGTCATGGAGTATAGTCACATACCATGACTATCATGTCACATACCCTGGAAATATAAAGTAGCATTAATAACCAGTATAGAGAATATAGTCATAAGAGCTTATATAACTTACCTATAGTTTAATTTAACTCCAATAGTTTATTTTCTCTTAATTGTTTTTTTAGTAGTAGAAATAATATAAATAGTAATGCCAATGTATAAGCGAACAATGTAGATAGAGAAATATAGAAAATAAATACAAGATATTAAAAATTGAAGTGCCAAATAAGAAATATTGTAATTAACAACTTACCTTTTCAAGTACACACCATATAAGAAAGGATAATTGCTACTATAGGACATAGCCCAGAATTATTAAGAAAAGAGCTGGTGTCAAAAAAAAAGAGAAAAGCTTGTTAATAACAAAAACCCCAGCTAAATCAATCTTACATGCCTTGACTTATCTTAGTTATGTAAACTTTGAATTAGTGAAGTGACCGACTTACCATTTTCCAGACCAACAATATCTAAGAAGCCACTGTACAACTATTGTTATCTAAACTTTCAAGAAGTTATATTCCACTATATCCAATTATATAGTAGCCAATTCCAATATAGAATTCTACAAATAATATGCAGATATCTGGAATATTTAGTAAGATGATACGTGATAATCAGGAATTCTAGTTACCTTTGCAAACAGAGCTGATATTTATAACTAAAGTTTCTCATTTACCTCTTAACAATACAGATTCATATGTATAGTTAGGTAATAATATCTTTAAGAAATTTCAACCCAATTCTATTTATTAGATACTTTCACTACATTTAGAAATAAGTATATCAAACTCTTTATATGACTTGGAGGTCAATTTGTAAAAAGTGATTACAACATCCTTATACATAAAAAAATCAACTTTTTTCTTTTCCACTTTGTCTGCCATATATTAAATCAACTTTAAAAAGCAAGTATGCCAAATCCCACTTATAACTTAAAGACAAACTTGTATATCTGACTATAGTGTCTTCATATAATTGAGTATTACAAATTCCTTAGTCTTCTATTAGGCACTATCTGAGATGTATAAATTTTGAAAATTTTTTGCTACTGCTTAGATAGTTATTAGAAAAAAATAATTAGGATAGATAAATTATTTTTTTTGAGTCTTATATTAAACTTTCTTAGCAAAAAAAAATATATGTTAGTCTTTGCACATTTGTAATATTGTCAGTAATAAGTAATTCTTATAAATAAAAGCTTTAATTAATAACTGTTCTAATTAATATATATATATATATATATTATTATAATAATAAATTATAGACAATAATTTTAAATTTTATAAGTAAATAAATATTAAAAAAAAAATAATTTTTTTTTATCTTTAAAGTTATATTTAAAATTCATACAATATGGATCAAAAATAATTGAAAAAAATCAAAACTCATATTTTATTCATAATTTAATAAATAATTAAATAATTAAAATAAAAATAGATATAGGCATAT